TCCACTTCCTCCAGACCACCCTTTCCACACCACCACAACTAATCTGGCATAGGAACTCTAAGGACCACAATGCTACATTCAGATCAACACCCGTCTCCTATCCCATCAAAAGAAGCATCGCAAACACAGCCTTGGTACAAAGTATATGGCGAGCCCTTTCTCTCCTTACTGGTAATTGCACCTCTAACCTCCTTGCAGGGAAAGGTGCACCAGGCACGCCCCCCCTGCCACCTACACAAACACCTTTTCAGGAAGAAGAAACACTGTCCCAGCAGTGATCCTCACTTGAATCTCCCATCACATCCCTTCTCCTCAAAACTTCAGAAGGGAACACAGAGAAAGGAGTAGCTCGTTTCCCCTTCATGCTATATGCCTTTTGCATATGCAGACCCTATATCTCATTATATATATAGCACGTTTGCTGCTCATTCCCAACTCTAGGTCTCTTTTGCCCATTGCTTCTTCTGCACATTTCACCTCCCACTGAATAGCTGTTTTTCTGATTCACCATTAAAATTTTACATTTCCCCCCAAATGCATTCCTGTTTTGTAATCTTCTGACCATATTTCCAGTCTCCCTAGGCCCCTTTGGATTAATCCTCTGTCACCTATAGAATAATGACTGGTTTGGAGAAAATAAATAACGAAGTGTTATTTATTCCTTCTCACAACACAAGAACTAGGGGTCACCAAATGAAATTAATAGGCAGCACATTTAAAACAAACAAAAGGAAGTATTTCTCCACACATCACACAGTCAACCTATGGAACTCTTTGCCAGAGGATGTTGTGAAGGCCAAGTTATAACAATTCAAAAAAGAACTAGATAAATTCATGGAAGATAGGTCCATCAATGGCTATTAGGGATGGTGTCCCTAGCCTTTGTTTTCCAGAAGCTGGGAATGGGTGACAGGGGAATGGATCACTTGATGATGACCTGTTCTGTTAATTCCCTCTGAAGCACCTGGCATTGGTCACTATTGGAAGACCCAGTATGGCCATTCTTATGTCACCACGGCTCCCAACCCTTTCTTTCTCCCAAAGAGATCTTAGAGAAATTTCCCATTTCCTGGACAGGACAGTTCTGTTTCTATTTTAGGGTTTGTCTACACAGGGGATTTAATCAGCAGCTATTTGGCAAGCTTTAGGTAACACACAATAAGGAAGCAACACTATTAGCATGCCTACAGAACGGGTGTACCCACTTCAGTTTACATTATGGCATGCACACAGTGGGGGTCTGCTGCGTAATAAGCATGCAGCATGAGTCTTAGGGGATATCCCATGATCCTTTGCTTTGCTGCTGAGCTGTGTGCATACTGGGATTTTTCTCACTGCACATTATAGGATGCATATAGTGCAGGGGCGGGCAAACTTTTTGGCCTGAGGGCCACATCGGGTTTCCAAAATTGTATGGAGGGCTGGTTAGGGGAGGCTGTGTCTCCCCAAAAAAGCCAGGCGAGGCCCAGCCCCCACCTCCTATCCCCCTTCCCCCCCCCGCCCGCTTCTCGCCCCCTGACAGATCCCCTGGGACTCCTGACCCATCTACGGCTAGCCCACCAAGCAGATGATGTGGCAGCAGCTCCTCCAGAAACAGCAGCGACCGCTTCAGTGGTGGTGGAGGAAGTAGGACAAGGATGATGAAGGGGGGTGCGGAGGGTAACACCAAGCAACTGCTACTACAAGCGTGGTTCCTGGGGCAGTTTCACGTGGTACAATGCTGTTTCTGGACTTGGGAAAACAACATTGATTGGTGGGAAAGGATTGCACTGGAGACCTAGGATGAACAACAGTGACAAGAGAATTTCAGGATGACAAAGGTGATCTTTTTTGAAATATGTGTTGAAATAGCTCCAGAGCTGCAGTGGGAGTGTACCAACCTGCAATGCCCCATATCATAATGGGTTTTGATCAAGCTGCTTGCTCGTAAACAGGATAGACTCTCCTTCCCCGTCTGTACACCCCATTACAGTCCTCTCCCCAAAGTGCTGCAGGAGTGGAAGGAAATTTGCGAGTTATACTGGGAAGAATGTTCATGCAGCTATCCCTCATAATTTTCAGACCAAAACTGAGCAATTTCTCAGTCTCAGATTCTGCTTTATCTCTCCTGCAGACATGGTGAAAGTGAAGAGAAAAATAGAGAGGGTTTTGCACTTACTGACTGAAGCATTCACTGTTCCCAGGCTTTCTTTATGCAAGTGTGTGAAAAGCCATTAAAAGCGTTGCGATAGGGAGTTGTAGTCTTAGTACCTGTATGGATACGCAATGCCCATGTCTACTTCACGTAAACGGAGAATAATATATGAACTTCTTTCCCTGTAACCACTGTCTCAATAAACAGTTGAATTTCCCAGAATTGCATGTTTTCATTGTTAGACTATGCTGTGGGAGAAGAAGGGAGGTGGGGCAGAGGTTGTGGCTGCCCTATGCTGCTGGCTGACATTTTGAGCAGACAAACAGGGTTGGGGAGTGGGGTGGGGGTGGTTCACTGGGCAGACAAAGGCAGGAAGGGAAAGGAAAATAGGTAAATCGGTATGTGCCCTCCGTTGCATGGTCTTGCAATCATTTGATGATCAGGACTCTAGGATGTGACAGAAGCCAACTGTTCAGCAAGAGGAGCCACCATTATGAAAATGTATATGCAGGAGGGAGCGGGCGTGCGCGAGAGTTGGCTGAGGGAGGGAGGTGAGGGCTAGAGACTCAGAAAGGCTTCTACTTCACATCTGTGAAAAATGGCTGTGGCTGTGGAACAGAACAGAAGGTACCACAGCAGTATAGTATAGTAATATATGATGAAGATAGACACTTACTTGCCGAGGTTCCCTCTATAGGATCTGCCTCCAGAGTCCCGGCCTGGGTTTCTGACTGGGAATTGGCCTCACAGCCTACAGGGCTGCCCTGAGGGTCCTGATCTGAGGAAATCCTGGGTTTCCAGGGAGATCTCTTCACCTTATCTTCATTGTGTCCCTCCTCCAATGACTTTCTGCTCATCCTTGGGGGATTGAGGGGCTTTTGGGTCACAGGGTCTACAACCTCCTTGGGTTCAGTAGTGATGTAATTGCATAAAATCTTGTCCAGCTCCCCCCAAATGGACACACTATATGTCCACATCCACACTATTTCCTGCCATCCCTGTGTGACGGGATCCCCAGGATGCAGCCTGGGACTGTGGGACTGCTGTGCCCCCTGAACTCTCTCCAGCCTTGGCTGTCTCTCACAATGCCTTGCTAATGACCAGCAGCAAACCCCTCCAGGTGCTGTGATCACGCAGCACAACAGCATGTAGAACCCCACACCCAGCTATATTGCATGAATGCTCCCACAGCCACTCATGAATCACACAGAGAAAGGCACCAGAACCAAATCCCCCCAGCACTGTACCTTAGATATATATCATCTTGCACTGCTGAAGACGAGCAATGCAGATTTATTAATCGGTTCACCACTTCATCAATGGAAAGTGGATATACACCAGCCTTTGTAAAACCTGAGTGGATTTACCACACATTTCAAGACAAACTCACTGGTAAAGATAAACAATTAAAGAAGTGTATTGATTACAAAAGATAGATTTTAAGTGATATTAAGTGATAAGCAAAAAGGTCAGAGTTAGTTACCAAAAGAAATAAAATATAAGCACGCAGTCTAAACTCTCAACTCTATTAGACTGGGCAACATCTAGATTAAGCAGTTTTTCTCGCCCCACTGGATATTGCAGTCCTTAATATATAGATTTGTCCCTTAAATCTGGGCCAGTCTCCTTTGTTGGAGTTTTCAGCCTTCTTCTCGGTGTCTTTATTGTTTGCAGCATAGGCGGGGGCAGGAGAAAAGGCCAAGCACGTGGTCACTGTGTCTGTTTTATACTCTCAGTCCATGTGGTGGAAAATACAAGTCCAGGCATGTCTGATGGGCATTGCTGAGTCTCCAGGCAAGGCTGAGCAATTCCCCTAGTGTGGCCTCATGCAGGTGAGTCATTGCATCGTAGCTCCTTTGCTGGACAATGGTTATTGAAGGGTTGATTGACACCCCCACCTCGGTGCTGGCTACTTTCCTTACGGTTGCCTCTGGGGAGCTAATGTCTGGCTGAGTCCCTAATTTACAGCAGGTTTTAGTGACCATCATACAACACAATTCTCATAACTTCATATGCATTAATGATACACATATATAGATAGAGAAATGACTTTCAGCAGATCATAACCTTTCTCCGATACTTTTCAAGGCATGCTTTAGATGTAAGATCACAATAATACAAAAATGAGAAATATGGGGGTTCCAGGATGCTCCCCCAAGGTATAGAAAGTCACACCCTGGTTTTAGTGTAAATACCCCTGAGCTGTTTGCTCAGCATTGGTAGGCACCCAGTTGTAACCCCTTGCAGACATCTCCTTAGCCACATCCACAAAAAGATCTTTATTCCAGTGACTTGCCACATAAGATAGTTGCACCAACACTTCTCCCCAGATGGCTATGAGGTCTCAACACTCCAAAAGGCATAGAATAATAGAATCATAGACTTTAAGATCAGAAGGGACCATTATGATCATCTAGTCTGACCTCCTGCAAAACACAGGCCAAGGAATCTCACCCACCAACTCCTGTAACAAACCCCTAACTTATGTCTGAGTTACTGAAGTCCTCAAATCGTGGTTTAAAGACTTCAGGGTGCAGAGAATCCTCCAGCAAGTGACCTGTGCCCCACGCTGCAGAGGAAGGTGAAAAACCCCCGGGGCTGCTGCCAATCTGCCCTGGGGGAAAATTCCTTCCCAACCCCAAATATGGCTATCAGCTAAACCCTGAGCATGTGGGCAAGACTCACCAGCCAGACACCCAGGAAAGAATTCTCTGTAATAACTCAGATCACACCACATCTAACATCCCATCAGAGGCCATTGGGCATATCTACCGCTAGTGGTTGAATATCAATTAATTGCCAAAATTAGGCTATCCCATCATGTCATCTCCTCCATAAATTTATCAAGTTTAATCTCGAAGCCAGATATATCTTTTGCCCCTACTGCTTCCCAGAACTTCACTCCTTTGATGGTTAGAAACCTTCGACTAATTTCAAGTCTAAACTTCCTGATGGCCAGGTTATATCCATTTGTTCTTGTGTCCACATTGGTACTGAGCTTAAATAATTCTTCTCCCTCCATGGTATTTATCCCTCTGATATATTTATAGGGAGCAATCATATCACCCCTCAGCCTTCTTTTAGTTAGGCTAAACAAGCCAAGCTTATTGATTCTCCTTTCATAAAACAGGTTTTCCATTCCTCGGATCATCCTAGTAGCCCTTCTCTGTACCTGTTTGATTTTGAATTCATCCTTCTTAAACATGAGAGACCAGAACTGCACACACAATATTCCAGATGAGGTCTCACCAGTGCCTTGTATAACGGTACTAACACCTCCTTATCTAGACTGGAAATACCTCACCTGATGCATCCCAAGACCACATTAGCGGCTCATAGTCATCCTGTGATCAACCAATACTTCAAGGTCCTTCTCCTCCTCCGTCACTTCCAAGTAATGCGTCCCCAGCTTATAACAGAAATTCTTGTTATTAATCCCTAAATGCATGACCTTGCACTTTTAACTATTAAATTTCATCCTATTGCTATTATTCCAGTTTACGAGGTCATCCAGATCTTCCTGTATGATATCCCGGTCCTTCTCTATATTGGCAATACCTCTCAGCTTTGTGTCATCCACAAACTTTATTAGCACACTCCCACTTTTTGTGCCAAGGTCAGTAATAAAAAGATTAAATAAGATTGGTCCCAAAACTGATCCCTGAGGAACTCCACTAGTAACCTCCTTCCAGTCTGACAGTTCACCTTTCAGTGTGACCCGCTGTAGTCTCCCCTTTAACCAGTTCCTTATCCACCTTTCAATTTTCATATTGATCCCCATCTTTTCCAATTTAACTAATAATTCTTCATGTGGAACGGTATCAAATGCCTTACTGAAATTGAGGTAAATTAGAGCCACTGCTTTCCTTTTGTCTAAAAAAATGTTACCTTCTCAAAGAAGGAGATCAGGTTGGTTTGGCATGATCTACCTTTTGTAAAGCCATGTTGTATTTTGTCCCAATTACCATTGACCTCAATGTCCTTAACTACTTTCTCCTTCAAATTTTTTTCCAAGACCTTGCATACAGATGTCAAACTAACAGGCCTGTAGTTACCCGGATTGCTTTTTTAACCTTTCTTAAAAATAGGAACTATGTTAGCAATTCTCCACTCATACGGTACAACCCCTGAGTTTACAGATTGATTAAAAATTCTTGCTAATGGACTTGCAATTTCATGTGCCAGGTCCTCATCTGTTACTTCCAAGTAATGCGTCCCCAGTTTATAACAGAAATTGCATGTTCCAAAGTTTCTGAAATAGCATTACAGCAACACTGCTACAGCCAAATCCAGGAGCAAGTGGGCAACTTCTGGGCCTGTGCCAGTTTTTAAATGCAGGAAGGAACATCTGATGAACTTGACCTCAGAGCAGTGGAGGGCACACAGGTAAACAGACAGGTCAATAATGGACACCCACAAAGCAGTGTGGGATAGAAGTTGGAAGACTGCCAAAACAGTGTAGACAAACAAGGGACCTAACTTGATTTGCATCAAACAATACACTTTGAAAGAGAATTCCAGAGCTTGTGATAAATGTGGCATTCATGCGCTGTGACGAACTGTGTTGTGTATACGCAGACATTTTCACACTGGACTAACTTGAGTTAATGCGGACTAAACCCCTCCCATTTAGACACACCCATAAGGGTTTATACTGCCACCCATCATGCTAGTATCTGAGCACCTTCCATGTGAAATCAATAGCATTAGTCCTAATGGCCTTTATGGAGTCTGTCACTACTCCCTTTTCAGTATAAAAAATCAACTTAGAGTGTTTTTTTTTTAAATTAACACATTTTAAGTTGATTGGTTTCAGGTTTTTGTTTTTTGTTTTGATATTTATGAGAGGGAGGTGAGGGAGGGGTTGAATGCATTTTTGGGGGTAAAAGAAGGTGGCAATGCCTTTTGCTCCCGTTCAGACTAAGTGGGTGAGGCTAGTATAAAACATCAAACTAAAATGATTTGTCTAATAATTTTAGATTTTAACACGTGTCACACGTTTTCTCCAATAATCCCAGTTATTTGCTTACCTGTACAAAGACAAGTGGGTGAATGTAATCAGAGCCCAGCTATTGAGATGCAACTATAAGCCCCATCTATAGAGCCAGAACCTCCAAGGGAGTCTTTGATATAGAAAATGGGCTAGCTGAGTATCAAGGAAAGAGGATGTAGGGACTCTTGACACAGCACGAAACACGGATCATTTTAAACAACTTTTTATTAGAACTTTAAAAAAACAATAAAGATAATGTTTTTTGAAACTAAAATTAAACTCAGATACCCTGTGAAATCCATATTTCAAAACACACACACAAATAAAAACACACAACCATGCTCCCTGCACTCACAAAAAGAATCCTCAAAGTTCATAACTTCAAGAAAAATTCTTGTCAGTAACAAGGGCTACAGAATCCCAGAGAAGGAAGCTGGTTTCTTACATTGTAAACTCTTCCGGGCAGGAACTGTGCAAACCTCATTGTGCACCACCTAGTACAATATAGCCCCAATTCCTGATGAGGCCTCTGGTCACTACTTTAATATAGACATTAAATAATAAAATCCTCCTGTGAGAGTGATTATCGTTATTATTATAGTCTCCGTTTTACAGATGGGGGTGGAGGGGGGAGAACAAAGGCACAGTGAGGAAGTGAGCTGCCCAGAATTACCAAACAAGTCTGTGACAGAATTGGGAATAGGACCCAAGAGTGTTGACTTTCCACCTTCTGCTCAATCTGCTAGAAGATGCTCCACTTATTTCCCACTATAAATTGTCTGGTGCCCTCCCTGTGCTCATTTTTTCATTCCTCTTAAATATATTTATTAAAAATGACTAAAATTACTTCCCCTTAATTACAGTACATACTTCCCCCTTCCATCACCCAAATGACCCCCCTGCACCTCCTGGTCCCTCCTCTGGCTCCAACCATGCATTTCTCCCTACACCCTAGGGCCCTACATGACTCTTCTTCCAGCACCAACACTGCCTCTTTGTCTAACTCAACCACCTACACTCCATCCTCAGCAAGGCATTTTTCATTCACTATGAAAAGGGAAGAGCCCTGTGGCCCCAAAGTGGAAACACAACTGGCTTCCATCCACTGGGAGACCCTGGAAGGATATTACATATGAAGTTTTCTCCATTTTCAGACAGCTCTTAGGGCTCCCCCACAATGTGGATTCTCTGATGTCGAATAAGGGCAGAGCTCACAGTGAAGCCTTTCCCACAGTTGGCACATTCATAGGGTTTCTCCCCAGTGTGGATTCGGCGATGCTGGATAAGATGTGCACTCTGACGGAAGCTTTCCCCACATTCAGTGCATTCATAGGGTCTCTCTCCTGTGTGGATTCTCCGATGTCGAAGAAGGGCTGATCTCCAAAGGAAGCTTTTCCCACAGTCAGCACATTCATAGGGCCTTTCCCCTGTGTGGAATCGCCGGTGCTGAATGAGGTGTGAGCTCACTGTGAAGCTTTTCCCACACTCAGCACATTCATAAGGTCTTTCCCCCATGTGGAATCTCTGATGCTGAATGAGGGCAGAGCTCACACTGAAGCTCTTCCCACACTCAGCACACTCATAGGGCTTCTCGCCTGTGTGGACTCTTTGATGTTTCATAAGCTCTGAGCTCTGACTGAAGGTTTTCCTGCACTCGGCACATTCATAAGGCTTCTCTCCAGTGTGGGTTCTCTGATGACGAGTAAGGGCTGAGCTCACACTGAAAGTCTTCCCACAGTCACCACATTCGTAGGGTCTCTCTCCTGTGTGGATTCTCTGATGCTGGATTAGCTGCCAGTTCCCACTAAAGCTCTTACCACATTCGGCACATTTATAGGGTTTTTCTCCTGTGTGGATTATCTGATGCCGAATGAGTTTTGAACTCATACTGAAGCTTTTCCCACATTCAGAACATTCATAGGGTCTCTCCCCTGTGTGGATTCTTTGATGCTGAATAAGGTGTGATCGTTGTCGGAAATTTTCCCCACACTCGGCACATCCAAAGGGTTTCTCTCCAGTGTGGATTCTCTGGTGCTGTCTGAGGTTTGAACTCACCCTGAAGCTTTTCCCACAGTCATCACACATTATTGATTTCCTCCTCATGGAATTTACCTGTTGGACAATGTCTGGCAGTTTCCTGAAAGTTCTTTCACATGCAGTTGATTTACTTTGTCTCTTCCCTGGAAGAGTTTGCAGATGCCGTTCCGATCTGCGTTGACCGCCACAGGCTTTGCCCTGTTCAGGACTCTGGGAAATATTCCTTTGGAGCATTCGTGATAACTTGTCCTGTGGTTCCATTGACTCAGGACCTTCCTGGTGTGGATTCTCCTCCTCATTCTCACTCACAATCCCATCACCTAGTCAATAAAATGAGAATCCAGAGATAAGTCACAGGAGAGAAACGAAACCTTAGAACAAGGACTCATCTTGAAAATCTTATTTACATATGAACATATGACACCTGCACTTGTTACATGTGACCCCACAGGGTATGTCTACACTTCAAGCCTGGGGTGTAGTTCCCAGCTTGTGGAGACATATTCATGCTAGTTCTCATCTAAGTTAGCATGCTAAAAACAGAATGCAGCCCCAGCAGCAGGATGGGCTAGCCACCCTGAATACATGTTTATGGTCTTGGACAGACAAGCATGCCAGGTGGCTCCCTCCAGCTACTTGTCCTACCATGGCTACATTTTATTTTTTGTTTAAATAAATGCCTATAGATATAGTGTATACTCCTGGTTAGTAAAAAGTACCAAATTTCGTGTAAAGGCTATATTTGGTTGAAAAGCACTATATTTTTAATAGTTATACCAACCATGAGACTTAACATTTCTTTAGGAAAGTAACTAAAAAGTACAAATGCAAAACAAGATTAAAATTAACTATTTAAATCAAGATTTCCTGCTTGCTAATTTAAGCCATGATTTAAATCAGAGATTTAAATGACTTTGAAAAGCCCTGGCTGGGATGATTTAGTTGGGGTTGGTCCTACTGTGAGCAAGGGGTTGGACTGGATGACCTCCTGAGGTCTCTTCCAACCCTAATCTTCTATGATTTAACTCAATCCAGCCTGCTCTGCATATTCAGCAGTTTGGGTTGTCTAGTTGGGGTTTGCCAGAGGGCTTTGTCTGGTTTCAATATGCCTTTGTTAATGGGCATTTCTAGACAGAGGGTATCAAATAATCTGTGGGCCTGTCTGTTGAACCACTGAAGTCTCAATTTCCAGTGTCTCAGTGATTCTGAATAGCAGATCCTGAAAGGCTTTAAAGTCATCTGAGGCCAGTAATCGTGCTGAAGATACTGCTGCCTCAGGAGAGGAAGATGAGAGGTCCATTGGAGAGGCTGGATCTAGAAACTGCTGATCAAGTATTCTTCCACCTCTTCCCTAACTATTGAAGAAGGTCTAGGTAGGGACATCTCAGTATGAGAAGTCAAAAGCAGCAGCAGCAGAGCTAGATCTTCACCATTGCATAGATGAATGAGAGGGGCAAGCTTTGGAGGGAGGGCTTCAATCTCTGAAGTGTTGCCAAGAGGGAATATTAAAAGGAAAAGGCTGATAGGGTTGAGTAGGCCAAGGTGAAGGCCAAGCAGAATGTGAAGGGTGAGATGGGGCCCTAGGATGAGGAGCTATATGGTGAGAAGGTGACCCATCATCTGACCCAGTTGCACAGGGAGAAGAAACTGGGGATGGTTTCTACCTAGAGGAGGGAGAAAAAGCATGGTCAAGAGAGGAGAAGGAATATGCTGTAAGTAGTGATCTTGATGATGACAGAAGCTACCAGTGATATGGTGACTGAAGCCAACAGGCTGTCTGCTGGCACCACAATTGATTCAACCACCAGTGCTTGTTCTGGTACCAAGGGCTTCAGTGTCTAGTAAAACTGCCTGGTTTTGGACTCTGGCACCGGGTTGATTTGACTTTGCTTGATACTGAGCATGCAGGCATTCCTGCCACATTAGCCCCGCGGTAGGAGATGGCTTAATGTTTGGCTCCTGAGGAGGCAGAAGGGATATGATTCTTCTTAGGCCTCTTAGATTTTTCCTTTTATGGGGAGGCAGATAGGTGCCAGGAGTCTTCTGACTGATGCGCTGACCTGCCTTGCCATAGTGTGGAGGAGGCAGGGTTGGTCTTTGACACTCCCAATGGTGCCAGGTGTGGATTAGGAATCCAGGGATTACCTAACACTAGTACTGATACTGGTCTTAGGTGTTGGGTTTCCACTCACTGGAGCACTGGCTGGATATGATTTCAAGGCCGCAGGTCCTCTTTTAGTGTCAGAGGCGCATTCTTCTGGATGAGATGTTCCTCTCCTTGACTGTTCCAGGAGTAACAGCTTCAGATGAGTATCTCTCGACTGACAGGCTCTTGATGAGAAGGGCTAGCAGATCAAACACCTATCAGGCACATGGTTCTCACACAAACAAAATAAGCAACAGCAGTGGCTGTCAGCCAGGGGAATAAGTCCACTACAAGATGGACAAGGCTTAAAGCCCAAAGGCTTTGAATTCCCTATTCAAGGTGATAGTGACAAAGACACAAGGAGATAACAAAGAAACCTTTTTTTAATTAACAAAAAGATGACTGGTTGACTAACCCAAACTCACCAATTATTAAGAGTTAGAGAGAAAAAATGATGCACAGTAGAAGGCGGACACCACCGAGTTCCATCTTGCTGCCAAGGGCAGTAAGGGGGAAGTCAGGAACAGTTGTAGCCACTCGGCTCTTTATGAACTCAGATGGATGACACAAGGATATGCAGGGGCAGCCCCAATGGACTGGTGAAAGATTCTGATCTCACACGCATGAGGGACATGTTTAAAGACTCAAAAAAGACTGGTTACAACAGTGGTCTGAGTTAGACAAGACAAAGTGGTGAGAACTCACAACAGGTCTGAGGGAATTCCAGATTTTCATTATGCTCACATGCATCCGATGAAGTGAGCTGTAGCTCACGAAAGCTTATGGTCAAATAAATTTGTTAGTCTCTAAGGTGCCACAAGTACTCCTTTTCTTTTTGACTATTCCCTAGTTTATCTAATGTCTCACCTGTGCAGGTGCAATTTAGTCTCACTGTTTCCTCATAGCCCTGGAAAGAGGGGATCAACAGCTCTCCCTTTTGTTCCATGTGGCAGATCATCTCCGGTTTGATAACTGGAAATCCTGATCAAGGGAGGAGAAATGGGCAACATCAGGACTCTCTTTACTGAGGGACGTTTTAGTTGCATGGAAGGGAAATACCTGTGCTAAAGTCAGATGTGTGCTAGGATGTGTGTTGTGTCCCCAGTAGGAGAGTTGGCTCTTCATAAATTGGGGGATTTAGGAGGAGAACAATACTAAGCAACTTGCAAAGATCTTACTGGCAGAGACCAGAGCCCATCAGAAAACACAACAAGCCTGGGGAGTGGAGGGGACAGCGATTCTATGTGTGTGAGTAACCAGACAGGTTAATGTCAGTTCTCTCCCCGCTGGAAGCCCTGGGCAGAAGGAGATGTGGCCTCTCTGACACTCCTTCCCAAAGGGAAGAAATAGGAGGTGACAATCTTTCCCCACAGGCACAAGACATTTGCTGTGTGTAGTGCAGAGATGAGCAAACTATGGTCCACAGGCCACATCCTGCCTGGCCCTTGAGCTCCCAGCCAGGGAGACTAGCCCCCGGCCCCTCCCTTGCAGCCTCACCTCGCCGTGACGCCAGTGCTCTGGGCTGCGAGCTCCTGCTGGGCAGCGCAGCGGCATGGCTGGGTTGGGCAGCACGGCTGCCACTCCTGCTGCTCTGAGTGGCATGGTAAGGGGGCAGGAGGGTTGGATAAGGGGCAGTCGGTCCCGGGGGGCAGTCAGGGGACAGGGAGCAGGGTGCGGTTGGATGGGGTGGAGGTCAGGGGACAGGGAACGGGGTGGTTGGATAGGCATGGGAGGCCCGGGGGGCCTGTCAGGGGGCAGGGGTGTGGATAGGGGTTGGGGCAGTCAGGGGACAGGGAGCGTTGGATGAGTCAGGGGTTGTGAGGGGGGAAGTCAGGGGGTGGGAAGTGGGAGGGGGAAGACAGGGGGTGGGGGCCAGGCTGTTTGGAGAGGCACAGCCTTCCCTCCCTAGCCCTCCATACAGTTTTGGAAACCCAGTGTGGCTCTCAGGCCAAAAGTTTGCCCACCCCAGTGTAGTGGTCACCTGTTCTATGCTGGCACTGCCCGCTCCCACTCACCTGTCCTGAAAAGCTGCCTCTACCCCTTAATTAAAGCATTGCTAACCTAAGTGTTCAAATATCATGTAATTTTTAAAAACAAATTTATTTGCCTTCTGGTTTTTGAGCCTTTAGAGGTCATGTTTTAAATGACAACAGATTCGCACATAATCACAAAGCTGGAGCTTTAAGAGAAACACCAGTTATGAGAGTTGGCAACACTGGATAATGTCTCACTCCTGCCTTCTTGAATTTATTGCTTCCTCACCCTTTTCCTGATATCTCCATTAACAGTTCCCCAAGCCAGCTCCCCTGCAGTCATTTCACTTCCCCGGCTCTCCAGGGGAAATCGGGCAGAGTCACAGGGGCCAACTTCTCATGGCGCCAGTGGGTGCTCGTGCCCCCTCCCCGCCCCCATTCCAACCCCTTCCCCCAAAGTCCCTGCCCCAACTCCACCCCCTCCCTGCCCCTATTGGATCCCTCCCTAAATCCACACCCCGGCCCTGCCTCCTCCCTTGAGCGCGCTGCTTTCCGCCTCCCCCCAGCTGTTTTGCTGCGGCAAGCGCGGGGGGGGGGGGGAGAAGTGGGCACCTGGCGCGCTCAGGGAGGAGGAGGAGGAGGCAAAGGCGAAGGCAAGCTGTGGCGGTGGGGGAAGGGTGGCGAGCTGCCGCTGGTTGCAGAGCCTCGGAGCACCCACGGAGTCAGCGCCTATGGACAGAGTAACACATGGATGTTGTTCAGATCAGGGCAACCGGGGAGATTTTATAAAGGGTTTCAGTCCATTTTGAAGCTGAAGTCCCCTCAGGCTCTTTTGAACAGGCTCTTTTGAACCACTTGCTTGTCCCTCTGCTACTGTGCAGACCCTGCGTCTTCCACAGGACTAAATGAACCAAGACATTTGTGTAACCTCCTT